TAATATATACAATTTGATGACTAGTGAGTAGCCTCATGATTGTAAAACTTGTCATTGTATGGCAAAGGGTTAGGTCTGGGTTAGGTAAGCCTTTGGGTCGAGGTAAGATATTGATTGAAATCAGAGGGTTTCAAGATCTTAATTAATTGGTCGAATTTTTGATCAGGGTCCTAACGTCACAAGTTTAGCGATTTCTTATTGCAACGAGGATCGAGTTACGTTAATCTTGAAATCGTTACCGTTGTAATCGGTCCATTGTTGGTCGAGGGACACGGAGCTGCGAATTTAGGGTCGCGGCAACGACCAGCGGCGACGTGATTAATACGTAACGACTACAAATGACTCCAACGGAACGGGATGTCCGAATCGACGGTTGAAAAACGACACCCGTGAAAAACCGGTTCCAGGTTTGATGCATTAACGTGCATTAACCCAAATTCAGAGGCACCTACCGCACGCGGAAGAAGGCAGTGGAACGAAGTCGTTTCGTTCCTTCGGCCAATCTTAGCCCTGATTGACCCGACGGAAGCAGACCGGTAGCTCGAGAAACGAAGTGCCGTAAAATGAAGCGATTAGGGCCACCTGACCGCATTCCGTCCGCAACAACTGACAAATCTCCCAGTCTTTAGGGATCCCTATGGACGACGTAATCACTGCTTTTGTTCGAACACAACGGGGGAGATTTTCAGCGGGCATTCGAACAATGCGAAAAAACAAAATCGCCGATCTTTTAAAATTACACGTTCCGTGTCTGGTACCTTGGAAATAATATACTCTGTGTTATTAGTGGTTTTTAACATTTTTGCAAGGTATAAAAAGGAAAGTGGATTTCTAAATTTTCTAGAAAAGAGGTTACGTTAATACCTTGAATCTTGCTTTGTACTTAATTGCAATGCAGAGTTGGACATTTGTAAATCACATTCATGGTATAAATATCATAGTTTCTACTGAAATTCCAACTGATTATAATTTACTACACTCAACATTGCAAATAAATACAAAAATGGGGACACTTGCTAAATGAAATGAGTGAAATATAACCACATTTTTCTACGTCAAAATAGGGGTGCGTGCACCCTTTAGGGAACAAGGATTTAAAATCGCCAAAAATTGGATCAATACGTGGACTCCAAGGTACATTTAGGTTTTTCGTGGGTCGAATTGCTTTCAATCCTTGGGAATTTCTGAGTATTCCTCGGGACGCGACTCCGGAGGCTGATAAAAGCCACGGAATCAGGCTTCGGTCTCGTTTCTATGAACGCAGCTGCTGTATCCGCGACACCGTGTGCAGCAGCATCCGATTGCGTATCAGCGACCTCGATCGTCCCCCGGTGCATTCCCCTTTCCCTCTCTTGTTCTCTCCCTCCCTTCCATTCAGATCATTATGTCAATGATCCCGGGGAGATCCGAGAGAAGGAAGCTCTATCGCGGCAACACGAAGGTCATCCGCATGCATCGAGCGTAAACTTCCTGATTCTCTTCGTCGCGATCGCTAATTCTAATTCGCCTCTCCTCGAGGAGGCGCTAATTCTCATCCCCTTCATACGTGATCATCTTGGAATTTTTTTTATTAACCAGAAGATTGACCAATCTCGATGCTTTCGAATCTTATTCGACGTTTCGGTGATGTTCCTTAATATTTTAATATTTATCGTGTCCCGTGTAACGAACGAAGAAAGATTGGCCTCCACAGGCATAATTATTCGTTGTCTATCGCAATCAAGCGCTGGTAATTCGAACTATCAATCTATGGCGCATTTACGGGGCAGTGTACGATAGCAGCAAGATCGCTGAGATATTTGTATAACTTTATAAGCACTTTCTCTTCTTTTCGTACTGGCCTGTAATTTCTAATCGCTTCGTGATCGCGTATTATCTCCAGTCGTAGCTTTATTTTATTGTTCAATAGGAAAACTGGTTATTTCTATTATTGATATCTGGGCCTGATAGCCTCCAAGCAACTCGAGGTTGTTAAATACAGTAGCATTTTCTGATAACTCCGACTCCTAAATTTAAAAACTTTAAACCTAAGTATCCAGAAAATTGTACTAAATAAGAAAGGGTTAACGAAAATGGAATCACCATGAATTTCAACCTAAAGTTTGAAAGCTTTCTCCAAGAAGCAGCTTGGAAGAGGATTGCCTGAAAGTAGCAGAGTCATATTTTTAGCCTCAGACAGCGCACAATGGGCTAGAGCCCCCACCCGCCTGTAAAATATCGTCTTAACAGCGAGGATCGCGTGTTCTGGAAACGTTTACCTTTACAGGAAGCCTCCCTCGAAACCGTTGGGTAACTCGGGCGCGAGCGAGGCCGGGCAACGAAAGCAAGCGCATCAGCTGTTTCATTCGCGTGACGTCGGGCAATCAGTACAGTTTATACGCGATCATTCGGAAAACCGAACGATCGTTGACCCATCCGCGTGGCACCAGGCGCGTTCGCTGGAAATTAGAAATCCACGGCACCAGCTGGCCTGTCGGGGCCCCGCGGTATAAATCTACTCGTTAATCGCAGTCAAACGTGGTTTGCGTAAATAATGTCCCACCGGTGCGTGAGCGATAATTACACAGGAACGATCGTTCGTTTTAATTGCAATGATTATCGGGAACCGTCTTGGCTCGTGACCGTTAGCGCGATCGGATTCCCGTAATTACCGCCACGGGGCCGCGTTTCACCGCGCTACGCGACGGAGGTGTAATATAGTTGTCCGTTTACGCGAGCGTACCACCAGTCCGAATTAGGATATCGGTACAACCGTTAATTAACCACGCGTCCCGTTGACGAGGAAAGAAAGACGCGACTCGCGTGCAACGAGTCCCGGAGACGCGATTTTCCGAACCGCGGTCACTCTCGATTCAAATTTCCCGCCACTTCATCCCCTAGCAAGCATTCATGGGTGAATTTTTTCTTTGGAGTGGTTATAAAACGTAGAAAATATATAAATTGAATATAATTTTGTGAACCACTGTTATCCTCGATTCAAATTTCCCGCTACTTTTATTTTTCCCCTAGCAAGTATTCATGGGTGAATTTTTTCTTTGGAGTACCTGTAGGAGATAGGAAAAATATTATTAGGCAAGTTTGAATATTCACAATTGTTGTGTTCCTTCAAAAAATAAAAATGTTAATATATAATTTTGTGAACCACGGTTATCTTCGATTCAAATTTCCCGCCACTTTTATTTTCCCCCTAGCGAGCATTCACGGGTGAATTTTTTCTTTGGAGTTACCTGTAGGAGATAGAACAAATATTATTAGGCAAGTTTGACTATTCCTCCTGTGTTTTCCTCAATCTATCTAGAGTATCGCAACAGAATGAAGAAGAGTCCACGGCCGTCGGTATGATCGACGAGTTCCACGAAAATGGCGGCCGATAAATCACTGATAAGTCGTATGATTTCTCGGTTCCTTATCTGCGCTATTTGCTTTGTTAGGCCCCTCATGGAAATGATGCATCTTCCCCCATTGTTTTCCGGAACTATGCACCAGACAGCCTCGTTATCGTGTAATTAAGGCCCCGTCATAACGAGTTCGAGCCTCGAATCTGCATACTAATTTCGCGGATATTTTGACACGCTATGCGAACCGTGCGAATCGCGATATCCGACGAATCACAGGCGTCGAACGATTTGCTTCTTGTTTATCGAAGGTTGTGTTGAAAATTACTTGAATCAATAGGAATTTAATACAGGCATGTATTTTAAAATTCTAGAATTCTTTTAGAATAAAAGAACTTAATAATCATATCAACCTTTAAATCAACACAAGCATATTATCTTTTATTGAGTATATTATTATTCGTTCAGGCGATGAATAATCCGCTTGACGCTTTCTCCTCGCTAATTTCAACGTCCAGATATATCCATGCGTCTGTCCGACAAAGAAAAATCCAAAACAGAACCAAAGCGAACCACATCCAATAATCATAATTTTTCTTTTACCTTTTCTACGCGGAATAATATACATCGACAGAGGCTAGTACATTTTGCGCGGACGATTAATAAGTTTGCGCGTTGAAATCGTACCGGAGCGACGGTCAATAAAATTATCCATCATCGTACCGAAACGGACACTTAAATCGTCGACGGTCGTTTAGAAGCGTTCCTATTTTACAATCGAGTCTCGCCTGACGGCGCTACTTTCTTCCCAACTTTAGCAGCGCGTGTTTAACCGTAAAATGACGTACAATAAACCATAAACCGCGCGAGCGGAGTCGTCTTAATTGCCTGCAATTAATTTGTCCACGTCGCGCGATAGAAAGTGCATCCACGTAGTACAAAATGATGCCCGGCGATTATTAGAAGGCGAAAAGATGCGTGCGTACGCCGTCGTTCACCTTCGTTGCTCTCCGACCGGAGGTGACGCGGGTTAAGAGGTGAAATTAGGGGAAGACTTTCGACCGAGGGGTCAAATTAGCGAACCGCACGATTCGTGTGGATCGTTGTTGCACGTTCGCGCGCGATACGATAGATCCAACTTTTACTTCCTGCTGGTGCATCGTTTTCAGCATCACAGACTCTATGCATCACCGTTTCGAGACGATCGTCCTGGAAAATGGCTGGAAAAATTCCCTACGAAATTAAATTGCGTAGCTCTGACTACAAAGATATATTGTTTCGAATTAAAAATGTAATGATATTAGTGTGAATCAATCGCCTGTTGCGTCGAGTTCGATCGAGACTCGCTCGACGAAAGGATTCAGGGATCGAGGCGCGCCAATCAGACTGTATAGCGCGTAAACGTGCAGTTTATTGTTCCTTCGGTGTTCGCTTCGCCCGAATCGGGGTTGGGAAAGTTATTCGATATCCTTTCTCGAGCGAGTCGCGGTCATATTTGTGCAACTGTCACGAAAGGACTTTACGCAAACCCCCGTGAGGTGTTATATCAGATTACCGAAATCTGCTGGTATACGATTCCGTCGTCGATTGAGATACAAACGCGGACGGATATCGGATTCGTAAAGGATGCGGGAGTAACGAGATCCCTGTTGTCTCCTGTTTCAGGAACGAAAAAGAGAGTCGACGACGTGGTAGCGCCCAGGACCATTCACGACGTACCGGAACACGTTCTCACGTGCGGCCTCACGCTTCCTGGTAAGTCTCAAAACTCCATCTTTTCACCATTCTTTTCGTTCATTTCTTCAGATGATCCCAAAGTATCATTATTATTTCTCCGGAAGCTCCGACAATTCGTACGGGGCAAAAAAATAATACCAGCAGTTGGTTGAGTCTCGATGATAGTCGATGTTCTGGTTTTAATAATACTACTAAATCTATCCAGATTTATTTTCTCTGACATCTAATCTTGAGAATTAATTCTTTCACACTCTTTATAATTTCTCTAAACTGTTCTGACCGCGATCCAATCTTCCTACTTTCGGCCATTTTTTATACCACGTTTCCATCGTTTTAACGAATCGTCGAGTGTACTCAGGCGCTTCATTTTCGTGATAAGATAAATTCTTGTATATTATATATCGATGTTGTCTTCACGGTCCCGCGAACGTAATTTTGCCATTAATGCTGCCCTCGGAGGCGCAGAAATGGCGATCGTCGGTGGCTTGCGACACGCGCGACTTACTATTCCAGCTGTCGCTGCGAAAGATAACGCGCGTTGACCGCGGAGGAGTATGCGGAAGCCGGGACACACCCACCGCCACGTGGGCCTCTTAAGCTCGGTTCACATGCCCCCGCATCCTCGGCTGCCGCATCTATTTACGTGCTTGAGGACGCTTCTCTCCGTTCCAGCGATACCGCCACGAGAACGCGCCATTCTCTCGCGCCCCTCCTTCCCGCGTCCTGCGTTTGTCCTTTCCTCGAGGCTCTCAGCTGGCCGGATCCTCGGCTATCTAACTGTATTCCCGCGTTGGTGCTTTGTCAACGATTAACCCCGCGGTTCAAAATGGGCCCCCAGGAACCCCACTCGACAAATATCGTCTCACAATTACAGTAAATTGTACAGGCCACCAATTTTTCTACACCGTCGAAACGACAGTCCTTCGAGAGTGAAAATTCTTACGTGTTTACGTTTCATAATATCCAAGAAGACATCTGACAGAACTGTGCGAGTCGAATTGTTTGGATTATATAAATTTGCCTATACATCACTGATGACTCCAAAATTGTTCGAAAGATCTCATAAAGTAGAACATTTTAGACACTATGCTCCGAAATACACTGACGTATGAAAGGAAACGCAGAGCCTCGTGCTGGTAGGGCCCAGATGCTCGACTTGGGACTCATGGCCTTGCTGGGGACTGGATATAGGCGATATGGGACTCGTGGGACTCGTGAACGTAAACGACTGGGACTCGTAAGACTCGAATCAGGCAAGAGCTCCGGAACTAGATATGGATGCAGGATTCTTCAGACTACGACTATAGAATTGTAGAACTTCGCACGGGCAGTACCTACAGGACACCATGGAGCTTAATATGGGTGAAATAAGACCCCTGGGAATCGGTATAAACAACTACTAAACTGTGGGACTCAATGGGAGCAGCGGATGTTTCTTAGAATTGGATACGACTTGGCGTTAGTGGGACCCAACGCGAGCTACTGTAGAATTATGGGACTCGATGTTGAGGATACGAGGTATCTGAGACACGACATAAACGATTGCAAGCTTGTGTGTGACTCGTGAGACTAGATCTGGACGAGCATCGAGTGAGACCAGTCGAATAGATAGAAGATCCTTGTTTTGCTTTTGATGTTCACAAATTGAAGTTAAATGTACACAACTCATACACTGATTTAGAAGAATCTCTATTGATCCTCTCGAGTTCTTTACATCTGAGACTTCCCTTACTAGTTATTGGATGAACCAATCGAACAAAAGTCACCCAGTCATCGTAACGTAAAAACTCTGATCCCATTATTATTATTATTATTCGATCAAAATCGTAGTCACACCTTGCTCTAAAACAGTTTATTTTTCCCCCCAAACCCACTGTTTGTGCCAAAATGGAGTCCAAAGTAAACGAATGCCAGTCTTTCATTTCCAACGTGTGTTCGTTGATCCCAAAATCGTCTTCTCGGTGTTCCCATCCTCGTACTCTCCTTCTGGGCATCGCAACCTCTTTTCGTCGCGGGTTCTCGGCTGGTGGGATCCAAGGATGTCTAACTGTTTCCCCGTAGTTGGCAAAGCTGCCGCTTTGTCGCCGATTAGTTGTACGAAGCTCTCTTCGCCGACGAAGCAGGAAGAAGAAGCGCCCGGGAGCGAGGTAATCGCTGCCACGCAACATCCAAGAAGGGGAACAGATAGGGTAGAGATAACGACGTCGGGAGTTATCTGTTTTAATTGCCGCGAATGGTAGCGTGTTTTTGCGGCACGATTGAGTGAATTAATCCCTGCGTCGTTACATCTCGGCGTCTTGTCGCTTTTTGCGCCGAGCACCGCGGAATAAGGAAGGTGGCCTGCGACTGTGAGAAGTTTGAAAGCGTTTGCTGCCTCGGAAAAATTCTAGAACCGCCGGCAACGGTGGTGTACCGCTCGCATAAGTTCGCACAGTTGCTATTTCCTCGATTTGCACGGCTTTGAAATTCGTTTCAACGCGCTCCAAAGCATCGAGATCATCCAATATTTGAGATTACGAGATTTGATCAGAGTTTGATTCAATAACAATCTCGTACTTTTAATTATTATTTTATTATTTGACACTTTTACTGCCACGTCACTCATTTATGGGTGACAGGATTTACCATTATGATGCTACAAAAATTAATTCTCAAGTTAAGACGTCGAGGGAAATAAATTTGGATAGAAGTCAAAAATCAAAATTTTACTTTTGCAGAATATTATACGGTTTTGTATGTTCTGTATCTACGATATTTAACAGAGCAAATGGGTGTCCTCAAAGTTATTTTTAATATTTGTTCAGACATTTTTGTCTGGAAACAGGGCTGGGAAGATCGTCATTGCGGAAGTAATTTCGTATCGTGAGAATAATAAGCTTGCATGTACTTCAGAGTAATCGCTGGAGTCGTTAACTCCGCGACAATTTCCCCGTTCGCATGTTTGAATTTCAGCTTAAACACACTCGTCCCTTGCCAAGCTCGTATTCTTCCGACAGCCGGCCGACTGTTCTCGTTTCCGACTTCCTATTTAATTAAACTCGCTGCATTTTCGCCTACGAATTTCGCACGATCGGCGTGTCGCTGAAATCGGTGTTCTTGAAAAAATAAAATTATCTTACGCGTCCTCTTCTTTTTCATTATCGCGATACATGCTCGTACATGCTTTCGGAGAGAGTTCTGCAGTTTGCTAATTATGGCTGTTATCGTTTCGCGGTCTCACAATCGAGATCTTTCACAGACATTTCCGAATTTTCATTCATGAACATGTAAACTGAAATAGTAGGCGTAGAATGAAACTGATAAAACAGATTGGATTGCTTGATTGGGGATTTGAGCTCGGATCTCTCGTTTTCTAGACAATTGCTATACTAATTGGGGACCCTTTGATCGTCGGGGAGGAATTTTTATCGATATCTGTTAAGTTTTGTGCACTCGTTCTTTCAAAGTTTTTTTCCCCCCACTCTCTTTAATGGTACATTATATTTTTGACTCTGTAGAGTCGTTACTGATGGGAAAATAAGTTCAATTATGGCGATGAACTTGCATTCTTTTCACTTGAATCCCTTCAGGAAATATAGTCTCGTGTGAGAGAGAGAGAGGTTTAGTAACTGTAATGCCATAGTTGGCAAAGCAGCCGCTTTGTCGCCGATTAGCCACGTTGAAACGACGACCATGTTCGCCCAAAAGAGGCGGGACGAACAGGAAGAAGAAGCGTCAGCGACGTTCTCCAGGGTTCAAGAACGGATCGATCGAACCACACTGAGATTTTACTGTTTCGAAAGTTACTCGACCATCTAACGCAGTGGTTCTTAACTTTTTTACACGTCGATTGTTCAAAGACAATGTTGCAAAAACGAACCCTGTAGTCTGGAGGACTCAAGTTTTATACAAACAGTGAAACGAGCCTTAAAGTCTTGACTCGAGGCTTCAAAGCTTATTTATCTAGAGTATTTTTATATCAACAAATATTCTACTACCCTTTCTTATCATTTTCTAGCTTCAAAAAATATTGGATTTTATAAAATTTTTGAATGTGTTTTAAACCGAGACCTAAATTTAATTTAACCCATTACGGTTTTAAAAGGATTCACTGAGGTAAAATCGTGCATTAAAAAATGTTTTGATTACTTCCATCGATTCATTATACGCATCGTATTATATTGTACGTATTTATAATGGCGCTTATTACCGTGCTGTAACGGCATCTAAATGACTTATGGTAATACGTTCCACTTAACCGTAAAGATTTCAAATATATGTCGAAATATATGTTACTACCACTTATACGAAATTAAAGGATGCTAATATATACTCAAAGATTTGAAAATCTAAACGGCGGTAATATATTACTCGATCATTCTAAATGTATAGTTATATAGTCACTTACGAGTAAATACGAATCACAATAATGTAATAAATTTTACGCAGAAGAATTACATATGGGAGTCAACGCAATAAACGAACGCGATTTTTAATTGCACGCTGGGGATTTGTTTTTCTGGATAATTTGATTTCGCGATCAGATTTTACGATTCATAAAGACACACCGTATAATCACGATAACTGACTGTACACTGCCAATTATTATCATCTTGATTGAAGGGTACCAAGTCGCATTATGGCAAATGCAGTCGCTTCACCGTCGGTCGAGAAAGTGTCAAGCACGACGGAGATTATTTTAATAAAAACTGTAATTATAAATAAGAATATTTTGTATTTAATCCCGGTAATTTATTTTAATAACACAGCCTGCACGACTCGATATCGCCTGCTTTCCCTAACTTTAAATATTCTACGTCGCTGCTGTGAAAGAAGATTCTGAATATTTTTGAACGAACAACTCAGTTTATGGAAAGTGAATTTGGTACGGTTTTTAATCACGAATAAACACGTGGCGAAAGTTTGTGAATTATTATTATTAAATCCTGAGTCGCGTGAAAAGAAATTGTTTCTTCGTTGAATTAACAAATACTTAATCCAACATTTTTCGTCAGATAAAAAATTCTTGACCTGCCCCA